AAAAAAAAAAAAAAAAACAAGAGAGACATTTATTTCTCTCTCTGTAAATGAGGTACAGGAGAAGTTATCCCAGCACTGGTGTAGCAGCTCTAAGGTTATTAGAGACAAGTTCCTTCTGTCTTTCTGCTCTACCATCCTAGTGCTTGGCATCCCTTCTCCTGGTCCACGATGGCAATTGGAGCCTCTTCCTTTTTAAAGAGACTTCCTGGAAGTCTCATATAGCACTTTAGCTACATCTCATTTGCTGTACCTAGTTGCCAAGGAAGCTGGGAGGTGCCTTTTTATTCTGGCCAGCAGTGCACCCAGCTAGAAGTAAGTTTTCTGTTTTGAAGTAGGAAAAAAAGTTACCGTGTGTGAGGTAGGCAATGAGTCTAGCAGTCTCTGCTGCAGCTCCCCAGGCTGTGTGAGGTGGGGGAATGAGGGAGAGAGTAGGGACAAGCAAAAGAATAGAGACAACCTGTCAGTCTAATAGAAGGCAGGAAGGTGGGCAGGGCAGAAACAAAGGAAAAATGTTACATTTAGAAAATACATACATGATAGAAATAAATCTAATTAATTGGCACTCACCATAAATGTAAATAGACTAAACAGACCGGATAGGTGGAAAATCCAGGTACAGGCATACCTTGTTTTATTGCAATTCACAGATAGTGCATCATTTTTTACACATTGAAGTTTTGTGGCAACCCTGCAACAACTAAGTTTCCCAGCAGCATTTTCCCAGCAGCATTTTCTCACTTGTATCTCTGTGTCACAGTTTGGTAATTCTTGCAGTGTTTCAAACATTTTCATTATTGTTATATTTGCTATGGTGATCTGTGACCAGTGATCTTTGATGATCTATGACTCGCTGAAGGCTTAGGTGATGGTTAGCGTTTTTTAGCAATAAAGTATTTTTAATTCAGGTGTTGTTTTTTTTAAGCATAATTCTATTGCACACTTAATAGACTATAGTGTCATGTAAACATAACTTTTATACGCACTGGTAAACCAGAAAATTCGTGTGACTTAGCCTATTGCAGTATTCATGTTATTGCCATGGGCTAGAACTGAATCTGCAGTAACACCAAGGTTTTGCCATGTTGTTTATAGGAGCTACCTAGTTGACACTATGCAGAAAGATTAAGAACAAAAAGGTGGGTAAAGATATATCAAGCCCCCCCGCCAAAAAAAAAAACCTGGTGAAAGCAATATTAATGTGAAAAAACATAGAACTTAAGGGAAAAAAGTATTATTACAGATAAAGAGACTATCATAATAAAATGAAAATACTCAATAAAGCCATTTTGAACTAGCTACCTAACAGCACAGCCATGATGGTACTTGAACTCTATAAAGCAAAAAAAAAGAACCTGAAAAAATGTAAAAGGCAAAATTGACAGGTCCACAATCCTAGAGGGAGATTTTAAACCAACTCTACCAGAAACAGATCAAGCAAAAACCTTCGTAAGAGTGCAGCAGCCAAATTTAAACTTTATCTAATAGATCAAAAGATTACCCAGGGGATAAGGTATACATGCAGCATTTACAAGAATTGACCACATGCTAGATCACAAAAGAAGTCTCAACTATTTTAACAAATGTATATGTAGATGCATCTCCATCCTCACAGCAAATGAAATAAAAATCAGCCTTAAAAAAGTTTTTTTTAATCTGCTTGGGAACTTAAAAATACTCCTAAAGTGGTCTACTTGTTACACCTTTATTTAAAAAAACAACAACAACAACAAAATAAAAAACAAGGAAGACTGAAAGTAAGTGAGTTAACTTCAACTCAAGAAGCCAGAAAAGGAAATCCAAAGAAAATCTAAAGAAAAAAATTAAGAAAATAATTTTTAAATAGCAAAAACTAAAAGTAATCAAAAAAGTAATCAAATAGACCTTTAAAAAACTTATTTTAAAAAGAGAAAATAATGTTAAGAATGAAAAAATGATACTTTATATACTGCAGAGATTTTTGAAAGTATTAGAATATTACGAACAGCTGTATGCCAGTGAATTTGAAAAATTAGTTTTCTAAAAAAATGTTATCAAAATTAACTCAAGAAGAAATAGAAAGCCTGAATAAATCAGTAACCTTAAAGATCCTGAATCACTAATCAGAGGTCTGCCTTCCCCCAATTCCGCCAAGAACTTCAGGCCCAGATGGTTTTACAGGTAAGTCTTACAAATCCTTCAGGGAGCCAGTAATTCCTATCATACATACACTGTTTTGGAGGAACGGAAGAAGAGAGGCCACTACCCAATTCATTTAATGAGCTTAATATTACCTTGGTACAAGGTTAACATGAAAAAATGAAATTAGAGATGATTTTCACCTAGGAACATCAACATGAATATTTTTAAAATACGTGTAAGTAATGCATTTTCCAGCAACAGGGTGAACAAAACACCCCCTAAAACCAACTGAGAGCAACCAAAAATTGGTAAATTACAAAAACCAACTTCCTGAATACGGTCATGAACTAACAAGAAAGCAAAGAATATGCAGGCCTGGTGCTGAGTGAAGGCAGAAATTAACTGAATGAAGGGAAAAATAACTAGAGCACCAGAGCTGTTTTCACTCTGTCAGCATCTGTTGAAGCGGGTGACTTTGAGTATAGGTATCCAAGGCTGGTCCTTGGAGGGAAGCCCAGGGCCTGCCCAGAGTAGGGTGACTAACAAGGGATCACAAACCACATGCATACTCACACATATGTACATGCACACACACAACGGTGGGTCTCCAGAGGGCTGCCTCCTCAGAGAGCTACCTCTAGAATGAGCTAGAAATAACCCCTCATTATCTGAAAGGAAAACTGCCTGTCTTGGTCCTTGGCACTGAGCCAAGCAGGGTGGGTCCTTGAGAATTTATAATTGTAAGCCAGCTTTTATGAGATTTGCAGTCCAAATTCACACTACCTGGGTGGCCTGAAAAGGCTCAAGCCTGGTCAATTCAGGTCTGGTATTGCCCCCAGGCATCTGATGGAAGCAAGGTGAAGGAACCACCTTCATTCCAGACCTTAAAGAACTTCCACAGATGGAGTTCTAAGGAAAATAAGGAGTTCATAGTAAAAGATCGCCACACACATAAAGAAGCAAGACAGGACACAGGGAGAGTCAGACTAAACAACAGACTCATGAAAATGTCTTATAC